TTTCTCGCTAAACCCTCGTCATCTAGTTTCATTACTCCATAGATCAAGGATGACAATTGGACATCAGCCGTATCTTGCCAAGGGGTCCACAACTGCTAGTGGAAGGGGCCTCACCGATGTCTGGATCTAGTGTAGCCGGTAGCCCTCGTGATATTCTTGTCGGCACGCCCATCATCGAGGACCACAATGGCTGTAGCTATGACTGTGAACCATGATCCCAGTGTGACAAACTTGGTGGATACAGACATTCAAAATCACATCCGCCTGCAGGGTGGGGATGAGCCGGTGACGACACAGAGAGGTGGGGCCCAGTCCTGCATTGCCCAAACAATAAAATGGCCCAAATGTGCTGATATGTCACAAAGGAAGGCCATCGTTCATGCATTGAACCATATCTGGTTTGACAGCTTCGGTCCCGGGCCTGTCCTCCATGGCATTTACAAAATTATGTCTGATGACTACTTTTCTCATACACATTGTACATTCTTGGTATATATGAGAAACATATTTTAATACGAGCTTAACATTTTTTAAAATTTATGTGTTTATGTTCAAATTTGTTAATACATGTTCTATATTAGTTGTATACACCAGGAAGATTTTTCTGTACACCTTGATTTTTTTAAATAGATGATTAACATTTTAAAAACAAATTATGTTTGATGACTACATTTTCATACACATTGTACATTTTTGGGTATATATCAGGAACATTTTTAATACATGTTTAACATTTTGAAATATATGATTAACTCATTTATACATCACCAATATATTTATAGTTATTTTATTTTCATGTTCACATTTTTAATACAAGCTATATATTCTTTGTATACATCAGGAACAATGTTTTGTACAGTTTTAACATTTTTGAAATAGCTGAATGTTTTTAAATAAAATTGTGTTTCATGACTGCCTTTTTCATACACATTGTATATGTTCGGTATATATCAGCAACATTATTTTATACAGGTTTAACATTTTTAAAATATATGATTAACATTTTTGATACACGATCAACATTTTTTTCAAGTGCCCGATATACATGAAAAACTTTTTTAATAAAAAATGTATATTTTTTGTATACAATTTTCATATACAGAGGAAAAATATTTTATACACAGTAATATTTTAGAAATATTAGATTAACATTTTTGAAAACAATTATGCAGCGTAATGCAAAGACCCACATCCCTTTAGATGATCCGGAGTTTGTCGCCGCGGCTCAAGCTGAAGGATGGGACATCCGTCTCACATGCCAGCCTCCAAACTCCCCTGACCTAAATATTCTAGATTTAGGTTTTTTTGCAGTGCTCCAGGCTCTTTTTCAGAAGTTGTCTCCAGGTATTACTAGAACTTAGAAAATTTTGAATACGATTAATTTTGAGTTGCACTGAATTTGTCAATTTGTGCAGGTTCTATTGAGGACATTGTGTTGAAGTTGCAGCAGGCATTCGATGAGTATCCAGCTGAGAGAAGCAACAGAATTTTCCTCACTCTCCAATCCTGCATGATAGAAGTCTTGAAGCAATTTGGAGGAAACCGCTACAAAGTTCCGCACATGCGGAAGGCTGTGAGAGAGAGGCTCGGCGATCTCCCGGTGGCACTACAATGTGCTGCGAACATTGTTAATGATGCCATTGAATCCCTACCTGATGTTTAGTGATCGCCATTCAACTCTTAGTGTTTGCCGTGCAATGGTCTTGAATAATGTAATCGAATTTAGTAGATTATACGACAGTGTCATCAATAATCTTTAGTGAATGGACGTGGAGGAATTGATCCCGGGCACCAGTGATCCTGGATGAACAGTAAAATCCGAAAAAATAGTAAAAAAATTCAAAAAAAGCTGAAATTTGTTGTCAAGAAACTTTGATGTTTTTTCTACATGCGTGCCAATTTTCGTGATGAAATGACATTTGTGGAGGTGTCAGCAAAAAAAACAAAATCATGCTCCAAAAAAACTGTTTTTGGAAGCATTTTGGAGCATCGATTTTGTTTTTTTTTGCCGAGACCTGCATGAATGTCATTTTGTCATGAAAATTTGCACGCATGTGAAAAATATATCAATGTTTGTTGCCAAAAAAATTCAGATTTTTTTGAACCTTTTAAATATTTTTTTCGTTTGTACTGTAGCAAAGGGTGCCTGTGAGCTCGAGCTCACAATAGCACTTTCGTTAGTGAATGGGTTTCTTCAGTTGGATTGAATAATGTAACCGGATGGCAATGTTTCAATAATCTTGGCTTCATGCTTTTTTTACAGTCACTCGCAACAATAGAAGTACTCAGACAAAAGATCCACAAAATAGAGGTACCACAGTAAATTTATTTATGCAAAAGGTCAACAAAATAGAGGTACCACAGTAAATTCATTGTTCCAGCCACTTGATGACACTCCAAGCATGGCATGGCCGCCGGCTCGTCTCATCTTTTCCTGATGGAACGGAAGTCAGATGCTTTACCTTCTCCCCGTCCATGGGAGCACACTCCACCGGCTTGGTATCCTCCTCGTTGAGAAGAGAAGTTGCCAGCTGCATGGGATGCGAGGTGGCCGATGGATAGGAGTTCGTGTCGTGTTGATTCTCCATGTGAGCGAACGAAGAGAGGCGGACAGATTGGTTCACACAAAAGATGAGACCCGCCCTGATGGGTGACACGTGTCATTCACAAATCGCAAAGCATCTACCCCACCCCCCCTGCATTCACAAATCACAAAGCATCTAATCTCTCCCCCCTGATTTCAGGTGAAGGGTGGGTAGATGCTTTGCGATTTGTGAATGCCACGTGTCATCCATCAGGATGGGTCTCACCTGCTAACTCGTGAGACCTGGTCTCACAGAATTCTTTTCCGAATAAAAGGACGGTAGAAGATTTTTCTCTATAAATCTAAAGCCCTGCAGGATATGCACTAGTGCATGCAATCTTCTCTTTCCTAGCAAAACTAGAGCGCATGCACATCATATATGAGATGGGGATTTGCCTTCTACTTTTTTCTAGGAAGGTCATGCGTGGGTTGTAGCTTCTGTAGGGGTAAAAGAGTCAACTAAAGGAATACACGTTACAATCTGAAATTTTTCACAAAAAACTATGGGTAATGTTTGTATCCGGTCGACCGGCCGAAACTGCGCCGGTCGCGTCCTGTCCACACGTATCCCACGCTCCGCCCTCTTTCCTTTTCGCTTATCCCCTTCCTCTTCCGCAAGCGTTCTCGACCATTCGTTCGCCCCCACCCTTGTTCTCCCCCTCTCCAATCCAGCTACAGAAACGCCTGCCCTGCTAGAGCGCCTCCACACATACGCCGTCGCGCGCTGCTGTTGGTGCCCGGGGCGACCACACCCCCACGAGCTCGGCTGTTATCATCTTTGCGATGGGGCGGCCGGCCGGCCATCATGTGCTGCGTGCGGCTCCCGCACTTGCTGGGACTGCAAGTACCGCAAAGCTGTGACGAGGCCGGCCATGGTGTGAGCTCGCATACGAAGCTATAACCATGGGGTGGCTGGCTGAATGCAATCCACGAGGATTTTTGCTACCACGGTGAAGTCTGCTACAACCAGAGGCAGCACACGGCAAAGCTGCATCCACGGGGCAAATATGCTACGACCGGGCGCCTCAAAATGCTTCGTCCGGCATATCTTTTGCTGGAACCGGCCCGGCGTCGGCTGCAAGAGTCGACGCGGCGGAGCTGCAAACCACGGCAAAAAATGTTACAATCGGCATACAAAAATGCTACATCCAGCATATCTCTTTGCTGGAACCAATCGAGACGGAGCTGCATCCACAAACAAAAATTGCTACGATTGGCGTGTTTTTTTTGCTGGAACCAGTCGAGCGTCGGTGACGACGGCGAGGCGGAGCTGCATCCATAATAAAAATTGCTACCACCGGCATGTATTTTTGCTGGAACCAGTCGAGCGTCGGCAACGACGGCGAGGCGGAGCTGCATCCACAATAAATTTTTGCTACAACGTACGTATGTTTTTGCTGGAACAAGCATGAGTTTCGGATGGCCACCGAGATTGCCATGTCCATGGCTCCATACCCAGCAACGCTACGACGGCCACACAATGCTGGGGACAGCGATGGCTCGGTGATCCGTGCTACATCGAACACACAATGCTGCGTCCAACTCACGCCGAGCGAGATATAGCCGCGCCTGAGCTAGACTGCCCATTAGCATTTGTTTTTGAGACAAGAGTGCACATTAGCAAATTGTTTTAGCCCTGGCCTTGTTAATTTTTTTTAACACGATACAATCAAAGTCGCTTACATACACGAGCAGACTCTCACCTCTATGAACGCACGCATGTGCACCCTACCTCTATGAGTACCTCCGAGAGACTGAGCCAGCATTGCATCTTGACATTTTACAAAGTCACCGTAGATGCCTTACAGTTGAGGGGAACATTTCCTCCTACTGAACGAACATCGTGGCCTCGGTCACCTCCCGGTCCGTCACCACAACGTGCTATTATTTGTAAATAAATGAACCACTTCTTGAAAGAAAACCTAATCATGAACGTAGCTACACTTGCCAAACTTCAAATTGATCCGTAAAAAGAGAGTAGAGCTTGAACACACGGTACTATCAGTCTGTTCAGGCATGCAGCTGTAATTTTGAACTCACGGTACAGATAATTTCTCAGATTGTAGTTTGCCGCCGATCCGTAGAAAAATAGTAGAGTTTGGAAACACATCTAAATTCAGAAGGATATGGTAATCCAGCTAATCCAAACTTGACTATCAGCTTTCAATTCTCGCCACCGTATTTGGAAATTTCTCCAAAATAGACCATATATGGAAAGGTATGATAACCTGCTTATTATACAAATTATCGATTGATCTTCTTCAGATCATCGGATCTCTCTCTCCGGCCCTCTATATATACAGGATTATGTGTGGATGGAGAAATCAGCTCGTAGTTTTGCTTAGAACACATAAATATTCTCCTGTCAATCTCTTTTCTGTTGAAACAAGTGCTTTTGGTGCATCGAATTATTAAGATGGGCAAGTACACGACCCGCATCAGTGCTCTACTTCTCCTCTTGTGCCTTGCTACTACTACACAATGTAAGCAGGGGATACACATGCAATAGTTATTTGTCTACTCCCGATAATCGCTAGTCTTTACAATATAAATTCATGTGTAAAATTTTCTTATTTCTGCTGGAAGTAGGTAATGTCAATAATTGTTTTATCTGTTATTCCATAGGTCGAATCATCGATGACATCGACAAGGAGAAGATAAATGTATCATTGTGCGTTTACAAAGAAAGCCTTGATGACTACTGTTGCAAAGTGACGAATCAGTGTTACATAACAGTCGAGCAATGCCTTAAGGAGTGCAAAGGGACTGCAGGCATGGTGGCCGTGGCAACCCCTCCTTTAGCTACCCCGTCTCCATTCCTGTCAAATTGAACTTTCGATTGAAGAAATAATTTGTGATGTGCGGAAAAAATATATGAAATTGAAAAAGTGGGTCAGTTGTCGTTTTTTTTTTAACAACGGTTGTCGTTTTATTGGTATAGCTTTGCGCAGCACTAGGGAGTAGAACAAAAAATGGACCATCGTTTTTCATTGGTTGATGCATCTTCCGCGACTGGAAATCATCACCACAGAATACACAGGATTTTCATTATTCACACCATCATTTACTTCCATCCGATGGCTGGAGGCCACATGTCCTGACGACTTAATGAGATCCCTTGTTCGTCGCTATTAGTATATCATTCATGGAGGAATGCATTTTTTAAACATTGTAGCTAAACTATATTATGTCCATACCTTAATAAAGGTGATGCGCCACTGTATTTTTGGGCCAGGCCCGTGTAATTTTGTAATACTACTTATAGGCTACTTTTTAGAATCCGTATTGTAGGGGAAACGAATCAGGAGGTGTTTTAGTCCCACCTAGCCAAGAGGGACGAAATCCCCTGTCATTCCCCCCTACAATTAAAGCCCTTAAGGCACCGTTAGGCTTTGGGTTTGTTTAGATTAAAGTTCATCATTGTTCAATGCGCGTACTTCGTTTGTGTCCAACGACCAGGCCAAGACGTTTCAGAACCCCACTTTGATCAATAAAACTTTTCTCTTAAATTCGCAATATCCAGATTGCAATTTCAGTTTCTTGCTCGTTCTTTATTTGCTTGCAGCAAATAGACCCTCGTGGTTAGGTTGATCGTGCTCCGCGTGATCAATAACCTTTTGAAGTTGATTTAGCGATTGTTAAGGCACTATGTCTTCGCATGTTCGTAGTCAAATCGTCAAAGTTGGCTTCTACAAAAACGATAGCTACCATCTCATCGAAAGACGGGACACCTTCCCCAATAGTAACTTTCCACTAACCGATATATCTTCATTGTAGAGAGTTGGGATTTCTCATCTCATATCAAAATACACAGCACCAGACACGTGTTGTTGCCACACAGGCCTAGCTACCTCTCCTCTCACTCTAACGGAGGTGGAAGAAAAAGAACATAAGACACAAAGTTTTCCCGACCGGCGCACGAACGCCGCCGTGGGCGCACAGACGCCCTAATCTTCTTCCTCTTTGCAATGGCTACATGGTTCACTTGGATGCTCTGGCTCTACCACCTACATTTGTTTAAGTAGCACACGCGCACACACGCTACCAGGGCAACAACCTGCCCGGCTCCTATGCCACTCACGCACAAGACTAGGCCAACATGCATACAAAGACCCACGACGCTAGCTAACAACCACACATGACTAGTCAATCCACTAACCAACTAACTACATGCATCAAGATTAGTACTAACAACACGCACACGGACATACCTAAGCAACTACGGGATTGTACATATTTATCAATTGGTAGAATCTATGTAGGCCGTAATAAAAATTGGGTATCTGCCAAATTACTACCGACTTAAAGCAACATGCTTGGGACTATTTGCTGAGCTGATTTATGTGCTGCTTGCGGAAAATCAAAGAGAAGCAGCCAACAGGAAATATTATTCATGAAACAAGATGAGGTGCCAAAAATGGGCACCTCCGGCGGGAAACTTCTCTTGTTGGATCCGTTTCGGACGTACTTGCTCTTCCTTCCTTGGCTGGTTTTACATCCTTTTTTTTGTATAAAGTTCGTTTTACATCCCAAAATGTAAAAATGTAATTAACCGCTTTGGATGCAGCGCTATACATTGTATACTGCTAAATATATGGCATGGTTCACCATTCTTTTCTTTGTATAGATTAATTTGATAGAAAGGAAAACATTTGATGACATCATCGCATAGCTCGGTGTATTTCATATCCTCTCCCAAACCTTTATTGCTCCTTAATTTGGTACCAAAGAACCCGAAAAAAATTGGTACCAAAGAAACGACTTGTCATCGACAAGCTCGGTATCCTTTGCATCCTTCCGCCAAAAATTGGCGCACAAAGATTCCGGGTTCTGATTTTGAGACTACGCATATAAAACTGAACAAAAAGTTCACTTACTATACAACGGTCCATGTCGCGACGTAGACCCTTATGCACTGCGCTCCTCTGTTTCATTATTTGGATATTAGCACCTATATGCGCTTTTCTGCCACCATGGTCCCACCTCTGATCTCTCCATCCTTTTCAAATTTAGTTTACTCCTTTCTATTTTCATCGTTATACCTTGTCTTTTGTTGACACAAGGAACATCACACGTCATTGGAATCCATGTACCGTTTTCGGTCCATGGACGGACATGCCCAATTCAGCTTGCTCCCATGTCGGCGCAGAAGAAACCATGTCACACTGCCTGAATATCCTTTGATTTCTTTCCCGAATAGTTGGTGTACACTTCTTGTGTGCACCGTGTCAAGTAGTAAAGCAAGACTTTTTTATTGGTGCGTCAAGCCACACACCCTACATAAAGACTTTCTTATGAATATTCTCGAACCTGCCAATGCTCTAATGTGATAGTGAGACCGCCAGAACCCCCGCCGCCATTCTGGTTGTCGACGTCTTTCTCCAGCACATTCCTACATGGACAGACGGACTGGGGCCCAAGCCTTCTCAAGTTTGATTGGCTGTATGGCGTGACTCTCCATCGGGACTCCGATTAGGACATCAAGGAAGCATGACATCTACGGGAGGGGAGATGATCGAGGTTGATGATGATCATGGACTGTATTGTTCATGTTGGTGCTTGGATCTTAGTGAATCGCGGGCGTATTACTTTCGTGCCTCATGCTCTATCACCGGCGGCGATGTCGCCTATTTCTGGATTGTGATTCGAGCCCCTACTCATTGTTGATGACGCCGAGCTGCCTGATGTGGAGGAGGTGACTGTCTAGGTGGCAAATGTGATCCTTTCCAATGTCCTTCACAATGATCAAGTTGATTCGCGGTCCAATGTGTCTCAACGGAAGAAATCGAAGGAGGAACTCGTGCGTTGGGTATTCGCATAAAAAAATTGTGCTACTGCCAAGTGAGCCTCGATCGGTTGCTTTCTCGCTAAACCCTCATCATCTGGTTTCATTACACCATAGGTCAAGGTCGACGATTTGATGCCAGTGGCATCTTGCGAAGGGGTCCACATCTGTCGGTGGAAGGGGCCTCATCGATGTTTGCATCTAGTGTAGCCGGTAGCCCTCACGACATTCTTATCGGCACTCCCATGGTCGATGACTGCAGCAGATGTAGACGTTCAAAATCACATCCGCCTGCCGGGTGGGGATGAGCTGATGATGACACTGAGAGGTGGAATCTAGTCTTGCATGGCCCAAACACCCGGATGGCCCAAATGTGTTCATATGTCACAAAGGGAGGGCATCGTTCATGTGTTGAACTGTATCTCGTCTGACGGCTTTGGCCTGGGCCTGTCCTCCATGGCAATAAAACAATTATGTTTGATGACTACTTTTCTCATACACATTGTATATTTTTGGTATATATCACGAACATTTTTTAATATGAACTTAACTTTTTTTAATATATGATTAACATTTTCTTATACAGGATCAACATTTTTTTATAAATTTATGTGTTTATGTTCAAATTTCTTAATACATGTTCTATATTAGATGTATACATGAACATTTTTTTGTACACCTTGATTGTTTCTGAAATAGATGATTAACCTGTTAAAAACAAATTATGTTTGGTGGCTACAATTTCATACACATTATACATTTTTGGTATATATCAGGAACATTTCTTAATGCGTGTTTAACATTTTGAAATATATGATTACTTTGTATACATGATCAACATTTTTTTAATTATTTTATATTTATGTTCACATTTTTAGTACACGCTCTATATTCTTTGTATACATCGGGAACAGTATTTTGTTCACTTTTAACTTTTCTGAAATAGATGATTTTTAATGAAATTGTGTTTGATGACTACCTTTTTCATACACATTATATATTTTTGGTATATATCAGTAACATTATTTCATACATGATTAGCATTTTTTAAATATATGATTAACATTTTTGATACACGGTTAATATTTTTTGAGTGCTTGATATACATGAACAACTTTTTTCATAAAAATGTATACATTTTGTATTAATTTTTCATATACACAAGAAACATTTTTATACACATTTTATATTTTACAAATGCTAGATTAACATTTTTCAGTAACAATTATGCAGAGTAATTTTTGTAACATATATTATTTAGAATGTTTCTGAAAGTGTAAACAAAACTAAAAGAATAAAGCAAAAAAGAAAAAAAAACATGAGAAAAATAGACACAAATAAGGATGTGGCCTCCCGTGAGTTGGGCTGGTCCAGTATGGGGCTTCCTCAGGCGAGGCTAGCGTCCAACTCGCGTCGAGGGAGGTATGGCCACACCTGCGTTAGACTGCGCATTAGCAAATAGTTTTTGAGACAAGACTGCACTTTTCCTTTAATCACTGTACAATCAAAGTCGCTCACATACAAAAGCATACTCTTACCCCTATGAACCCCCGCACGCGCACCTTATCTCTATGAGTACCTTCGAAAGAGTGAACCGGCATTGCATCTTGAGATTTTACGAAATCACAACAGACGCCTTGCAAGCTACGGAAACGTCTCTCCCCAGTGAACGAACATCGTGGCCTCGTTCATTGACGCCTACGGGCCTGGCTTGGAGGTCTCAGCACCATTGTTGCCTGGCTACTAGTAGTAAATCAATGGACCACTTCTTGGAAAAGAAAACCTTTTTTTTGCGGATATTGGAAAAGAAAAAAAAACCTATTAGTAGTACAGTTTGAACTCACGGTACTATCTGTCTGTTCAGGCATGGAGCTGTAATTTTGAACTCACGGCACAGATAATTTTTCAAATTGCAGTTTGCCGCCGATCCGTAGAAAGAGAGTAGAGTTTGGAAACACATCTAAATTCAGAAGGATGGTAATCCAGCTAATTAAAACCTGACAATCAGCTTTCCATTTTAGCCACCGAGAATATTTTGGAAATTTCTCCAAAATAGACCGTATATGGAAAGGTACGATAACCTGCTTATTATACAAATTATTGATTCATCATTTTTGGATCACAGGATCTCTCTCTGGCCCTCTATAAATACAGGATTATGTGTGGATGGAGAAATCATCTTGAAGTTTTGCTTAGAACACTTTTATATTCTTCTGTCAATCACCTGAAACAAGTACCCCTGTTGCATCGCATTATCAAGATGGACAAGTACACAACTCCCATCCGTGCAAGAGCACTGCTGCCGGCTCTACTCCTTCTTATCATATGCCTTGCTACTACTACACAATGTAAGCAGGGGATACAAAATAGTTATTTCTCGACTTCCGATAATCGCTAGTCTTCACAATATGTATACATGTGTAATAATTTTCTTATTTCTGCTGCAAGTAGGTAGGTATTATGCTAGTGCATGATGACAGTCTTCTTTTTTGTCACATGCATGTGGTTCTTGTTTGTTAATCAATCGAAAATCATAGTACTAATGTCAATAATTTTTTATCTGTTCTTCCATAGGTCGAATCATCAATGGCATCGATAAGGAGAAGATCACTTTACACGGGTTGTGCGTTTTACACAAACCAGTCCTTGGTGACTACTGTTGCAAAGTGACGAATAAGTGTTACATATCAGTTGAAGCCTGCCTTAATGAGTGCAAAGGGCCTGCAGGCATGGTGGCGACGGCAACCCCTGCTTTAGTTACCCAATCTTCATTCCTGTCAAATTAAACTTTTGACTGAAGAAATAATGTGTGATGTGCGGAAAAATATTTGAGATAGAAAAACAGTTTTGCTAAAGCAAGTATGTCGGTTGTCGTTTTATTAGTATGTTGAGATTTAGGCTTGGGCAGCACTAGGGCGTAGAATAAAAGTGGGCTCTTTTCTTTTTAGTTGGTTGATTACCCAGAACACGCGGGATTTTCATTATTCATACCATCAATTACTTTCATCCGCTGAAAGCCTTAGAAATTGCCACGGAAGCATATATTAGCTGTGAATAATCAAAATATTTATTTGGCATATCTACCACACTCATATAAATCATGAACATTCTTCCATAGAAGATATTTTTCTACGTAAATGATACCAAGATTTGATTCCGTCAATTGCAGGCAGTGCTAAAAATCAGAGTTAATTACATGGAAATACCACAGTTGGGGCATTAAATGCGGATTGATACCGAGTTTGGGAATTTTGGCATCTCAGTACCAAGTCTGGGGCTAGCCATTGCACAACGGTCTAAACTCTGTGTAAACACGTATTGACGCTGAAACTGACAGCTAGGGCCGACGTGGCATGTTCTTTCATAGATAAACCCTTGCTTTATATGGAATCGCGCTGACGCCCTTGTTTGCAAAAAAAACTAAAACTTTTTTTCCTGGAATGAGAAACCAGCGCACGGGCGGTTTCGCGCGTGCAGAGCAGCACACCACTACACCCATGGAATGCTTGTGACAAAATATAGTCTGGTATTTTTTTTATAACTGAACCTTTACACATGTCCGGGCCTTTATGTGTTTTTTTTTCAGATTTCTTTTATCCTCCATTACTTAATATTTATTCAGATCATTGTATATTGATTTCTTAAATATTTCTAACAAAAATGTTGATCGTATATTTATACAATAATGTTCAGTGTGTATTTACAAATAATATATATAAATCAATATATATATAAACTTTGCCATATTTAAAAAAATTCATGGCATACTTAAAAAAGGTCATTATATATTAGAAAAATGTTCAATATATATAACAAAACTGTTCATCATATATTATACAATAATGTTTGGTGTGTATTTCAAAAAACTATCGCATAATATAAAAGGTTCAAGATATATTAGAAAAACTTCATTGTATATTTTTAAGAACTTAATTGTATAATTAAAAAAGATCATAGTATATCAAGAAATGTTCAATGTATATCAGAAAATTGTTCATCATATATAATACAGTAATGTTTAGTGTGTATGTATACAGTATATTCAGTGCGTAATTATGCAGTAATGTTCATTGTGTTCAAAAATATCACATAATATAAGAAAAATTAAGTATATATTTGAAAACCTTTATCGTATGTTAAGAAATGTTCACTTTATATAACATAACATTTCATCGTATATTATACAATAATAATACCCAGTTCGTATTTACAAAAAATCTTACATCATAATTTTTTTGAATAGGGAAATTCATAGGGTTGTACGTCTGAAAGGGAAATTCATAGGGTTGTACTGTGTATTATGCAATCGCACCTAGCATGGTGCAACGTGCAAATCCTACGCCCACGGGCATTAACTTGTCGAGCAGCTAGTTCGCTCCCTCCCAAAGTTATTTCTCTACTTCCGATATATAAACTATGTTTAGAGGTTAAACATGTGTAATTTCTCTTTTTTCTGCTGGAAGTAGGAATTTTGCTAGTACATGACAACTTTTTTCTGGACCCTTTTCTAATGTTAATTAATTATCTATCTCTTATTCCACCTGTCAAATCAGGACCAATGGCATCAATAATGATAAAATCAATTTACCCACATTGTTTTGTGCGTATACAGGAAAAAAACTTCGTGTGTGCCAAATTCTATACTCATGCTACTGTTGCTATCTGATGGATTTGTGTTATGTGACGGTCGATGAATCGGGACAAGGTGCAAAAGTTCTGCAAATTGAACTTTAGTTTGAAGAAGTAATGTGTGATGTGCAGAAAAAATATTTGAAATAAAAAGTTGTATCTCTGTTGTTGTTTCATTGGTCGAATTGCACTTTAACTTTGGGTAGCACTAGGGAGTAGGAATCTTCAGAAATAAAAACAAACTATTTTCTTCTCCCGTGGATGAGGTATCTTCAGGGCGTGGAAATGACGACGCAAGAACAGCTAATTTTTTTGTTATTCATACGCTTTTTTTGCGGGGGAAACGAGTATATATTACTGAATCAAAGTGTTCCACTCGTTTAGCATTTGCTTACAACAACATGAGGCCCTGAGCCAAGCCAAACTATCGTGCATTGTGAGCATCTACCCATGTTTGCCAGACATTGGGCAACATATTAATTCACCTACTAATAGTAACTCTATATCCTCACATGTTTAAATGTCTTTCGTACACAAACCATGCGAATTTTATGAGTTTGCTTCACTACTATATGCAAAGGTATCTTCTAAAAGAAACTGGTTTTGGCTCACGCCTAGTTGTCCATTTTATGGATCCATCTACGAAATTAGAGTTCTGTGATTTTCTTTGTCACTTACATTTCCAACCGTCTGCTTTATGGATCATTCAATCTTATTTGTTAGTATATAAATCGGATGTCCCATGCTTAGTAGGAGAGGCATAATAAGGGAATTAAGGTAAAGCGACAGATATTTAAGAACGTCGTATGCTCCTATTACTTTGATCAATCTGCAGTACGGGTTAGCCTATGAGCCAACAGTCAGCGTTTCGCCCAATGCTTAGGACAATCTGGCTGGGTGCATCCCTGGTGCGCCGCCTAAGAGGAAGTTGGGGCTGTGTCAGGTGGGATGCACCCTTCCACTATCTTTTTCATTCTTAGGGTTCAGCTTTTGGATACAAGTTCCATCTTGATAAGAACATCACTACTTTACTAGGAATCTAATTTCTCTTTGTTTTGCAGGCTATGTACTGAAACTGTTTTTTGTCTCTGTTGGAAAATTGGTGCAAATGGAATTAGATCTATTTTTTTCTCAGTCTGTAGGCTTGATGCAGCTTCGGTACTAGTATGCCTGAAACCGTATGTAATGCCAATTTGAGAAACTTTGGTAGTAGTATCTCTTCACATTTGTTTGAGCCTTTTCCATTTCCTTATCTATCATGCATAACTTCTGCCATTTTTACTAAAGCATCAAGTATATTTGGCTAGGAAAAATGGGTATGCTGAAAAGCAAAGTTTTATCATGAATAATGTGGGCTCAAGTTCTTTCAGATATACTAGAGTACCATGTAATGCCTGGTATGCTATAGATCATCTGATGTGTGTTGAGCCAGTAGTCGTATGTTGGTTCAGTCTAAATCTTACTTCATTGGTTATTTGCTGATTATATCAGCCAGATGAAGAAAAATAATGAGCTTTTTTGTGTTCTTACATTGCAGAACCAACTTGCGTGAAAGTATTGTTGCTACATCACAATTTTGTTGAAACTTATCTGTTTCAGCTCACACATCCTCTTGAGGTTTGGTACTATTTTCACGAAGGTACATTTACCCTACACTACTTAGCATACAATATTTTGGTTATGCAACATTGAGAAGTTGTACTTAGCAGTATTGACATGTACATTGTAGTTTGAGCTTAACTTGCAAGGATACTCTGATGTCTTGTCTAGTCAGGTTGATTTTAATTGTTCTGTCAAACTAATTCAAAACCATATGTGTAGGTTGTTAGTTGAAAGGTTTTTGTCAGTTGTATTATGTATCAAATCTGAGACAGGGTCTTGGAAAAAATTGCTCAATTATTTTGCCTCAGTAGCTGTAGAATTGGGTAACTTTTCTTTCACAAAAATAGTTAGGTGCATTGAAGAAACTAAGGTGACAAATATGTTATGCTGATTATATGATTTTTATCTTGTAATATTGTTCCTGCTTCTTGCATTTGTATAACTTGCATATGAATTACCTGTGACAAATTGGCTCAACCCATTTCACTGTTTATTACCACTGCTCCATTCTTACCTTATAGTATATTCTGAAAATGCTGATTTATTATAGGTCTACACTGATCTAAGAAGTTGTTTAACTTGGAAGGGTACATTCGTCTTCTCGTACTGGGCCCAAGGTATGCCTCAGTTTTCATGCTTAATTGTCTTTTCACTTTGCAGGAGAAAGGTTTGTGGCACGGGTCAGATGGTCTTTCAAATGCAATGTTACTATAGATTGGTATCGATCTTTCTCATAGTTCAACACCTTCTAGCCTTTTTAGGGATGTTCTTGTGAAAATTCTGTATTTTGTGGGATACTTGGTTTATCTTGTGCAGAAATCTGATTGTAAATAATGATGATGAGAAGTACACATACACCCCACTTATGGAATTGAGAATATGAACCACATTTAACTTATCTCTAGTTTCCATTAAGTCACGACATGCCAACCTCTGAATATAATTAGTGACTGTTAAACCTGCAGAACCTTTTTTTCGACAAAGAAACCTGCATAACCTAAGTAGCACTGTCTGAATTATTTGATGCTACTGGCATGTCCTGGAAAATCTTGGGAACTCGGACTGATGGCCCGTTTCTACTAGTGCGTGGAGTCAAATATGTTCGTTCGTTGTCATTTGGTCATTTCTCATGAGTTTTGTACAAAATTGAAAATTATAAATTATCTTTGTTCACTGAGTCATTATGATCTCCTGGAGTTCATTCTATAATTTTGTAGCAACTACCTATAAATCTGTCATGCGGGTTAGGTTCTTGGCAGTGATATTGTTGAGATGGCGAGTTATGCATATCATTCGTTGTATCTTTTTCTGGTTCATGAGTTGTTATTGATTAATGTCGCAGTAATCATGTTTGAATCAAATTATAATTTGGACCAGTTGCTATGGTCTTCAACTGCTGGAAACAATACAAAACTACTACTAGTTACTGGGTGTAGTTGTTTTTCTTGGAATCAAGTGTTTCGGACCTTTGATTCATTTACATAAATTAAGTGCGAGTGTATGAGAAGATATGCGAATTAGTAGCATTATTGATGTCACAAGGGATTGATTTTGA